GCCATATAACTCAGAACATCAACACAGAAAATCCCATAATATCTGTTTTGAACTGGATTATCTGAGTCCACACAGCCATATATTCCAGTTCAAAGCAGAAAATGTGGGATTTTCTTCAGCTGTGTGGAAGGGGGCCCAATTTCCTGGGGACAGTCCTGAATCATTATCTGCATTCAATTTGCTCAATTGCTTTAAAAATATTCCAGTTTCTATCTCCTATGTTGTATTTGCCTTGCTTTCATTGATGCAAATAGAGTTCAAAACAAAAAAAGTAGTTGCTTTCAACTAACTCAGGGCCCTTCCACACAGTGGTTGAAAATCCACGTTGAACTGGATTATTTGGCAGTGTGAACTCAGATAACTCAGTTCAAAGCAGATACTGTGGATTATCTGCCTTGATATTCTGGGTTATATAGCTGTGTGGAAGGGCCCTCAGTAGGATGGATAGAGAGTAACTCGGTAGGAATTGTGCCCTTCCCAGTAGGCTAAGAAGTATCTTCCAGCTTATCTGTTCCTTCCTCACGGATAACTTTTGCTATATTGAACACACTCTAATGCTGCTTGGCCACAATTGTCCCAGTTTTTAATCTGTGAAATGTTGATGTATACTGCTTATGAACATTTGAAGTTAACCTATATGGCACAATTTTGTTTCTTCATTCTGTCTGGCAGTGGCTGTCCTAAGCCTCTGTCTGTCCCAGTTCTTGCTGCCAGTCAAAGTTGACAGTTCGAGGCTAAATGGACCAATTTACTGACTCAATATAAAGGCAGCTTTCATTGTATCTATGTAGCATCAATCATGGATCATAAAGATGGTACCAATCCCAATTGTTTGTTTCCAGCAGCCATCAGTTTATAATGTTTTACTTCTGGATTGGAAATTCCCTTTTACTCACTGCAAGTAATAGCTTTCCCAAGATCTATAACAAATATATTTCTCTCCTTATCCTAACCAAGATTTCTAAGGCCCTTTCTACACTGCAATATAAAATCCAGATTATCTGCTCTGAACTGGATTATATGGCAGTGTAGACATATATCTAGTTCAAATCAGATTTGATAATCTGGATTGCATGGCAGTGTAGAAGATGCTCAAGTTAGTATTACTACACATTGTGGCAGTTAATCCAGGACTTTCCACATGTATTCATGTATTAGATTAAAAAATAATTTAAAATTGTATTGTCGAAGGCTTTCATGGCCGGAATCACTGGGTTGTTGTAGGTTTTTCGGGCTATATGGCCATATTCTAGAGGCATTCTTTCCTGACATTTCGCCTGCATCTATGGCAAACATCCTCAAAGGTAGTGAGGCCTGTTGGAACTAGGAAAATGGGTTTATATATCTGTGGAATGACCACACCTAGCTCCAGCAGACAAGAGACCTTTGTCCCATCCCAGTCATTCCACAGATATATAAACCCATTTTCCTAGTTCCAACAGATCTCACTACCTCTGAGGATGCTTGCCATAGATGCAGGTGAAACATCAGGAGAGAATGCCTCTAGAACAGGGTCATATAGCCCGAAAAACCTACAACAACCCAATTAAAAATTGACCCAGAAACCTGGATCATCTTATCTTCAGGATAATGTAAGTATTGTAATTTAACTCCATGCCAGGAGAACCTAAAAGAAGCTCTACCCCCCTGCCCCACCTTACACTTTCAACCCTCTGTTGAGGGAAATGCTGCCACTATTTTTTCACCCTTGGGAGAGATGGGATAAGCCCTCACCTTTTGCCACTCTGCTCAGAGAAGGGGACACTCTACTTAAATTCTGATCAAAACATAAACCAACCACTTGATAGCAGCCAGGAGTGGCTGGTCCCTTAAGGCAGCACTGGAACATTCCCTTCTTCATGCTATGATGATGATCCGGTGTCATTTCAAAATCCACAATTTGATTCCCAAACCTGCCCTTGATTGAACCATGAAGTCAATTTATGCAAGAATACGTATAGCAGCTAAGCATTGCTTGCTCTGTTTGAGATTAGATTATCACTGAGCAAGAGTCTATCATGGTCTATATCAGGGGTTCTCAAACTTTTTAAACAGAGGGCCAGGTCAAAATCCTTCAAACTGTTGGAGGGCCAGATTATAATTTGAAAAAAACATGAATGAATTCCTATGCACATTGCACATATCTTATTTGTCGTGCAAGAAACACTTAAAAACAATACAATAATTAAAATGAAGAACAATTTAATAAATGCAAACTTATTAGTATTTCAATGGGAAGTCTGGGCCTGCTTTTGGTTGATGAGAAAGGATTGTTGTTGTTGTGCGCTTTCAAGTTGTTTTAGACTTAGGTTGACCCTGAGTGAGGGCCGGGTAAATGACCTTGGAGGGCTGTATCCGGCCCCCGGGCCTTAGTTTGAGGACTCCTGGTCTATATACATTAAATGAATCCTAAATATCTATATTTAGAGTGGTTAGCGTAGCCTACCAGATCTTATCTTTTGGCCTACAAGCATAAACCAGGATGAAGAACGATATGAGCCCCAAAACATCTGGAAAGTCACAGATAATGTGGGATTTTCTTCTGGGTTAGAGGGCTGTGTGGAAGGGCCCATCGTTTTCTAGAAGTTAGCTCCACTGAACTCAGCAAGGGTACACTCCAAGTAGATGTGCACAGGATTGCCATATAGGGCTCCAGCCTTCCCCGCCTGGGATGGAGAATTCCTGGTTTGTGAAGCTTCCCTCTCCAGGTTCTGTTTTCTCTTGCAGCACAAGTGTAGTTTTTTTTTCATTTGGAGAGGAACCATTGCAAATACTTCTGATTACATTGCTTCTGTTCAAGATGACAAGCAGTATGAGAAGCCAATATGCAATGCAGCTGGCACTTGGAGAAACTGCTCCCTCAAGCACTGCCTGATTGGGTCAATGAGCATAAAACAGATGCACAATCCTGCCAGTGCCTGGAGGAACCCCTCTTTCAGGCACCCAGCTGAGTTCTTTTCTCTATGCAGAGGAATGCAACCCTATGTCTCAATCTGCTGAAGATTCTTTAAAAATAGTGTTAAGGAATGACTTGATGAAGTCTACTGCCTGGTGCCATCCTGCCACATTGGTCATGAAGGAGCTATTTAGACCCTGGGAACAATATGGCTCCCTGCTCCTTTGCTGTATACGATTTGGGAGGAAGTTTAGCTTACGGCACATCTACACTGATACTATAATGTAGCTTGGAACTGGCTTTGCTGCATGGATGTTTGGATTATCAAGCGTAGAACTGGTATGAGGCCAGATGGGTGATTACAGTAACCACACAATTTGGCTTCAAACCACTCTGCGGGCTTTTTTCCTTCCATTTCCATGGGGCATATGGTGTTATTTATTTATTTATTGTGTCAGAAGTGAGTTGAGGGTACAGTTAAGATGCATTTAAAAACACAAAGTTTAAAAAATAACTTGGCATTATACTAAATGTCTTTTGACCAGAAGCTAGCCATTTGGAGTGCCTCTGGTGCCACTGTGAGAATATCCTCCATAGTACATGTGGCAGGGCTTAGGTTGCATTGTAATAGGCAGTCTGTCATTTGCTCTTCTCTGCACTCACATGTTGTGGACTACACTTTGTAGCCTCATTTCTTAAGGTTAGCTCTGCATCTTGGTGCCAGAGTGCAGCCTGTTCAGTGCCTTCCAGGTAATCCACTCTTTTGTGTGCCCAGGAGGGAGTTTCTCATCCGGCCTCAGCCACTGATTAAGGTGCTGGGTTTTAGCTTCCACTTTTGGACTCTTGCTTGCTGAGGTGTTCCTGCAAGCATCCCTGTAGATCTTGCAGCATATGGTGTGAAAAAAGAGAAAGTGACAGGTAGGAGTGGTGGTAATCAATTACCCATCCTAGGGGTTGGGTAGACCCCTGCAGCTCAGCCATGCCCTGGGGGCACTTTTCAGGAACCCTCAGTCTGGAATCTGTAACATGCTTCAGCAGTTTGCAGGTATCTACAATGCGCTCTGTTTTGCCCTGAATCTGGAATGCACTGGTATCTGCATTGTTTGGCTGAACTCAAGTTTTCCTGTGATTTTTTAATGCATTATGTACCCTTATGTACCCACGGCAGAATATTGTTGTCTCAAAGCTACATTATAGTGTTAGTGTAAATGGGGCATCGGTGGCACTTTTTTCTGCATAGACAAGATTTGGATAGCACTGTAAATGGTCTTTGGCTAAGTTGTTTTTCTCACAACCTCACATCTATCCTCATGCTTTCTGTAATGTGGGGATATTCATTTTAGTGTATTTTACAATGATAGTAGAAGCATTACTGAAATACAACAACAACAACAACTTTTATTGATTAGCCAGTTGGCCTTATCAAAAACAGACAGTGCAGACTCAACATACAACATACATCTAGTCCTCTTAAAATAAAATAAAATACAAATATACAGGTAGCTATAGATATATGCATCAACTATCCTCGTCTCCCCTAAACTGCACCTCAATCTGGTCTATGTATCCGATCTCCTTTTAGCAGCTTTAAACAAATAAAGGGCAACTTTTGTTGTCAGAATGGGGTTATAACCAGCCAACAAAAATGAGGTTTTGGCCGCTGTATCCCAGCTTGTTTTCTTGCAGATAAAAGGCCATACATATTGTTTCCTTTCTTTTTCATATAGATTGCAGTGATGTAAAGTGTGGTTCAGATTGAAGCCCAGAAAGATATAGCCACCCTGTCAAACACAGGATCCTTGAAGTGGTTAGGGCGCTTTAAACATAACTTCCAGAGGGCGCCGTACCTAAAAGCTGATATGGCAAGACACCTAAGAACCGCTTTTACCGGGGCAAGATTTGAACAAATTGAATCCATGGAGAGACACGGCAGATTCCATCATATCCCACATGAAGAAAGACTATGTATCTGTGGTGCCTCCGAAGTAAAAAATCTAAACTACTGAAATACATTATGCTACACCATGAATGTATTTTTTAAATGTACTCTGATGCTTATGTTTGCGGCAAGTTAGATTGATGGCTCCATTTTTATCACCAACAGATTCAAAATGACCAGTGCCAAGAAATGGATTCTACAAGTGACAAGTGGGTGAAATTGACAGATAATGGTGAATGGGGCTCCCATGCTGTGAGTATAAATTGGATGGCTTAATTAATGAATAGTTTTGAAGACTGATTATCTCAGGTTTGAATGCTGAGATGTTAGTAATGTTAGCAAGGCAAGACTATCCACATTCTTCTTCATTCTTCAGCTCCCCAAAATTGTTACTGAGCTGCATGAGAACCCATAGCACCTATTGATAATTTCACGTGCTTCCTTTCTGTGTTCCTCATGGACCCATAGACATACGTGGTCTCTTTCCATAAGAGAAATGTGTGACCTGGAATACTGAGCAGAATAGTCAGTGTATCCCAACAAGTTGTAGCGAATGCAGACCGTGGCTACATGTTACACTCTACCTGTATAAGTCACTAGGCTTGTTTGATCCCCCCCCCCCAAAAAAAAGGTTCAAAATTCGTTTCGGACATAGGCGATTTGATTTTGAAATGATTTCTGAAATTTTCTGGAAAAAAAGGTCAGAAATATCCAAAATTTCCGAATCGCTTCGTTAATAGACACGCATGTGCAGTAGGAAAGAAACAGCACTGGCACTGGGGAAACTTCAGGGGATTGTCCCGTCCTCATTTTTAGACCAATCGTGATGAAACTTGCTACAGTGGTAGAACACATGGATTACTGTTAGCTCACCAAATTTGTTATACTACAGAACTTTTTGCAATCTCTACCACTGGGAGTGTGGCCTTCAAGAATAGCTGTGCTTAGCCACGCCCACTTCATCCCTCTTTGCATTGCCACTCGCCAGGGAAGGGAAACTGAGAGATTTTAAAACTGTTTGTTTAGGCTTTGCCAAAGTTACTTAATGGTTCTGAAAATCAAAATAACTGTGGGAGACCTCAGAGAATAATTCTGAACAATGGGTAAGTGGTTCAGATTCGGAATTGTTCCTCCCACTTTTCCTGCATGGTTCAAAATTGGTTCAAAAGTCCAAATTTGGCAAGTTTTTCTGAATTTTAGGTTTTTCTGAACCAAACCTAAACAAGCCTACAAGTCACCAAGTTATGGTTGGTAAATTAGAAGACTTCTTGCTAATAGCCAGGAGAAGCTAGAGTGACTTGCTCCGTTGTCATTCTAGAAAGAGTTTATTTTTATCCATTCTCCTCTAGTCTTTACTGAGCACCAACAGTTCAAAATGTACTGAGGTATATGGACAAACACAGAAATTCACTTAACCTCTCCTTTTGGCTATATATTACAAAACTACACAATATCCCAGAGTACTTGTAAGGTATCAGCACAAACACAAAACAATCTATGCATAATGTCAAAGTGTATTATCAAAAGCGCATATAGTATTCCATTTACCAAAATCCCCAGTACATAGCTCAATTCAGTGGTACACAGCAAAATCAAAAGGAGCAGCCGCTCTCAAACATAACAGTTCTTGGTCTGGATAAGGATTCCACTGTATATAGGCTTCAGGGATACATTCAATAAGAAAAGTCATATAAACAAAGTAAGCATTGAGTCATGAGGCTATATGGAAATTGAAGACAATAATGAAGATGGAGCACCACTCTCAAAACAATCTTCAGTGGAATCCTTATCCAGACAGAGAACTGTTACGTTTGAATACTATATGTGCTTTTGATAATACACTATATATTACAAAAGGCACAAAACAGATTCAGCAGATGTACAGTCAAGATTTTTGAGTCTGAGTGAGAGGCAGTTTTCAAAAGTAAAAAATATAATATGGTGCCAAATGCATGTTTATCTGTGATAGAGCTTTCACTTGCATAAAAATGACTTATCATACTTAAAATATGGTAAAGTCTGTTTGCTAAATAAACAGGGCGAGGCTTTCCTGTGGAACAATGTAACTCTCCCTCAATTGTGGACGGAGAAAATATTGTGTGTTTCTTTTAAAATTGACCTCTCTGTATGAACTATATTTGCTCAGTACTTACTTTAAGCTAATTCAACAAAGCAGTGTGTGGTATCTCATGTTTTTGTGGCCCTCTGTTTTCTTAGTGGTGTGTGGATTACATCTCAAACTTTGCTCAGCTTATGCAGCATGAGTTAATTTACTTCCATTAATTAAATAGCAACAGATATGAGATTTTACAAGAAGGTTAGGTGCAAAACCCCAGAAACTTTGGTTTAATGAGGACAGAGAAATTGGGGTTAATGCCCATTCCTCCATAGAAGTTTACTTATTTAAAAAAAGAAAATACATGAAATAGTCTGTTTCAAAATGGGTTTTGTCAAGATGAGCTTTTGTGTAATAATTATTTTCATATTTCCTTCCTCTCAAAGGTGACACTGAAGTCAGGCACTAATATATTATACTGGAGAACAACAGGGATCCTAATGGGATCACAGGTGGTGAAGCCTGTACTTGTGAAAAACATCACTATTGAAGGTATATGAGAGATTTAAGTGCAATTTTATGATAGCTTTTGATTACAAAACCATATTGTTACAATTCTGCATTGTTATAGTTCAACACTATCAGATATATCAAATTTTCTAGACACTTATAAAAGAAATAGTTATAATAATTTCTAAGCCCTAATGTCCACTGAAATCATAAGGAAAGGCTGACACCATCACAACATCCAAATGAAAGAGGATCACCATGCAATCTATTAGGAAATCATATTCAACATTACTACTGTTTCCCCAAGAAACCTGTTTTTTCTGGGATAACATTATGCAATATTTCAGTTTTAATTGTAATCTTTCCATTTCCACCCCCCTCCTTCATTCTCCTACTTTTTCTACAATTCGTTTTACTATAAAAGTGTAAGATGCGGGACAGGCTTTAGTTTAGCTTCAGCTAGAAGTTAAATGGTGACATCTGCAGGCAATGACTGGATTTGCAGAAAGACGTTTACATTTTTATTGAAGAACGTGCGCATGAAAGAAACACTGTGCTTGAAGTCACTGTTATGGAAGACTAGAGCTAAAAGGAAATATGCTTTAAAATTATGGCCTGGAGCAAGAGATTGAAGAGATGCCCCTCAAGAAATATTACATCTTTGTTGTCACCAGAGCTTGGATTGTTTTTTTTTAATCAGTTCATTAAAGTCATGTGTGTGTGTGTTCATTGCCATTGCTTTATTGTTGTTGTTTGAAACATGTTAAGCATTTGTGACATGCTACAAATGTGTCATTTGTGGTTACTTTTTGAAATCTTTTTTTAAAAAATTGTTCATTATAAAATAGAAAATGATTCCAAAATCTACTTCCGTCCCACCCAATTGCTTTCCTCAAACTTTAGGAATATTGAGAAACAATTTTAATTGGTCTTTTTAGTGATAACAGTATAACCAGTCATTGTTTAATTTGAAAACATAGTATTGTCTCTCTCTCAGTATCCCATGGGATTTGATGCTTTGTCTACTAACAGAACTATTAATTTTAAATGTTTGTTTTTGCAGGAGTGGCTTATACGTCTGAATGCTTTCCCTGCAAACCTGGTACATTTAGCAACACACCAGGCTCTTCCACATGCCATGTCTGTCCTAGAAATAGTTACTCTGAAAAGGGTGCTAAGGAATGCACTAAGTGTGATGAAGAAACACATTATGCAGGTATTGTTTATGCAGCATAAAATAATGATAATAAAATAATAATAAAATACAATTATGCTGATAATTATTTGTTTGGTAACAATAATTTTGCTAGGTCAGTGGGTTGTGATAAAGGATCTAATGTAAATGTTATGGAGTGATACTGAGAGTTTTTAAAAGGATTTGTCTAGTAACAAATACTGTATATACTCGAGTATAAGCCGAATTTTTCAGACCCTTTTTTAGGCTGAAAAAGCTCCTCTCCGCTTATACTTGAGTCAAGGTTAATTATTATTTTACTCTGCTATTAGTATTATTTTATTACATTTATTATTTTACTCTATTATTATTATTATCACATTTATATTATTTTACTCTATTATTATTATTACATTTATTATTTTACTCTATTTATTATTATTGTTACATTTATTATTTTACTCTATTATTATTTCATTACATTTATTATTTTACTCTATTTATTATTATTATTACATTTATTTTACTCTATTACTATTTTATTACATTTATTATTTTACTCTATTATTACTGTTATTATTTCATTTCCATTATTTACTCTATTATTATTTTTATTACATTTATTATTTTAGTCTAGTTATTATTATTGGAAGGATACGTCCGCATATTTACATTGAAGAAGGTTAATCAGAGTTGGACAGTCTTATGTTAAATCACAATTTTATTGATGTATTCAAAACCATTTAACCTATGGATGCCTCAATTAATGTCATTTTATTGGTATCTATTTTTATTTTGAAATGTACCAGTCACAGCTGCATTTCCCACCCTCGGCTTATACTCGAGTCAATATGTTTTCCCAGTTTTTTTGTGTAAAATTAGGTGCCTCGGCTTATATTCGGGTCGACTTATACTCAAATATATACGGTAATTTCTTTAGAGGCTTCTTTGGAGGAGTTTCCGTCCCAGTAAATAATGTATTATCCTTCTTTCGCCTTTATCAGTGTGCCTGTCTGTCTAACCTTCAGTTTTTATCTACTGTTTCCGAAGACACTTCAACTCTAATTTTGTGGCAAAACAAAGGCAGCTCCCATTCTTCTAAAGTGCTGTGAAAAGCAGTTAAAGTTGATGCAATAAACTGAAATCGCTTTCAGCAATAAAATATTCAGTACTATGTAAACATGGCAGAATCAAGGATCAAAAAGGTTTTCTGAGTTTTTGCTTGCCTTCGGCACCCAAACTGTATTACTACAGGTTTCCCTAAGAAAAATCTGTGTTTTTAGTTTTAAAAAACTGGAGCTATAGTGTCATGCAGAGAATAATCATTTAAAACTGTCTCCTGGAAATGTGAACAAATCAATACAGATGGAACTTTGAAATCTTGGCCAAGTAGCATCATTTTCCTTGAATTAATTGTATTTTTTCATGAATGCATTTTACTTTCAGATGAGGGTTCAAGTCAGTGTATGGAACGTCTTCCATGCTCCAGCAAAGACTTTTTTCAAATCCATACACCATGTGATCAAGATGGAAAGGTGAGTGACAAGACCTCCTATCGCTATTGTAATAGAGGAGACTTTACAATATAGACCAAAGTCTCTATTAGGGGGCCCATGAGTTGCACGTTAAGGACTTTAAGCTGGACAATTCAGAATTGCTTTGTGTGTGCGCGCATGTGTGTATATACACATCTATATACACAACTAAATCTGCCTTTCTATGGCTTATAAAATGTTGATCCTGGTTCTTAATAACTTTTTTAAAAAACACATTGTTTACAGATGTATAAAATCAGTCCTCCACAGGTTCTACCATCTACAGCTTTGAAATATTTTTTAAAAAGTAATTCCCCCCCCCCAAAAAAAAACAGACCTTGATCTTTCCTATTATTATTATTATTATTATTATTATTATTATTATTATTATTATTATAATATTGTGCTGGTTGAAACATCAAACCAAGGGTAGCAGCATCTGACTTTTGCCTCAACAGACTCTACCAATGCACCTGGATGTACTGAAAGTGATATTGTGTCATATTCAGGTGTCATTTTCAGCTGATTCAGAACCTAAAATGAGGGATTTAGGATGGATAGTGGTTCTGGCAGGTAGGAAAAAGGGTAACTGGCTGCTATATTTCCACATGATTTTTGGTAGTCTAGAGGAAACTCACACTTAAAATGGTGTCCCTGTGGTCCCAGAGACTGCCTGGAGACAACACAGAAGCAAGTTTTTGGACCACATTCAGCTCATGAGCAGCATCTTCCACCCCCGATTTTGTCTTTTTGGAACTTCAAAAACATCAAGAATTTAGATTTTCTCTCTCTTCTTTTTTATATCCTCACACACACACACACACATCTTTTCCTTCTATTTTTTCTTTATTCTTTTTTACATTTCCTACTTTACTATATATGATATTGTTCTCCCACTTCCAATATCCATTTTCTTTTTTATTTCTTTAAACAAAACCCTAATAAAATATATTTAAAAAAGAATTTAGAATTACATCTGACAGAGCAACAGTGATAGTGTTAATGATTTTTTTCAGTGACCTGAAATCCCTTTATATCTTACACATCTATCCTCTTCCTTAAGCCTCTTCCACACTGCCAATATAAAATCAGATTATTTGCTTTGAACTGGATTATATGGCAATGTAGACTCATTGAATCCAATTCAAAGCAGATAATGTAGATTATCTGCTTTGATAATCTGGATTATATAGTAATATACAAGGGGCCTTAGATTGATACTCTTTGCTTTCATTTCACTTCTACTTCCAGTCCCCTTTTTAGCCCTGTTACTGATCCAAAAGGAAAACCAACTTTGTCCTCTGCTTGTTCTAACTTAGCCTAGCCTAGCATTCTTAGAGAGATTTCCTATCTACGAGGGGTATTTTTTAAGTAAGGTCCATTTGAACATAAGTACACAACGAAAGTTTATTTCAAAAAAGTAAATTTATTTTCAGAAAGTACACACTTCACTCTATTTTTTGACATAGTTGCCAAGTTTGTTCAAACACTTATCATACCTCTGAACCAATTTTAAAATACCCTCTTCATAAAATTTTGCCGCCTGCTCCAATAACCAAGAGTTCACTGCTGTTTTCACGTCGTCGTCATCATGGACGTTGTCACGGCCATCTTTGAATTGTCGAACCCACTTATGCACTTTGCTTTCACTCATAACAGTATCACTGTACACTTCACAAATCTGTCGATGGATTTCTGCAGCAGGCAGGTTCCTTGCTGACAAAAACCGTATCACTGAGCGAACCTCACATGTGGAGGGTGAGTTGATAGTCTTAAACATTTTTAGAGCACAGAACAGAACCGTACAGGTTAGCTACAGAGCGGAAACTGAGCACAGTTGTTCCCAAGGCATGCCGGTACACGACGCATGCACTCGTTGTGGTATGTGTGCGAACTACGAGTGTCTACAGCAAAACGGACCTTACTTAAAAAATACCCCTTGTATAATGGAGTTCCTATAATAAAAACTTGGTTTGTTTCCTATAAATATTGGTGTCATTGCTCCTTGATAATAGTAGCCACTGCCAGCCATTGCATGCATGCACTCTCTATCTAAGCTATAGTAGAAGCATTATTTTGTTTTTATATTGTTTCTCTTTAATTTCAGACTCAGCTTATGTACAAATGGGTGGAACCTAAGATATGTAGAGAGGACATCCCTGAAGCAGTGAAACTACCACCTTCAGGAGAGAGAAAAGAATGTCCACCCTGTAATCCTGGTTTCTACAACAATGGCTCATCCTTTTGTGCTCCTTGTCCTTTGGGCATGTTTTCTGATGGAACAAGGGGTAAGAGAATCAGAATTGATTAAGAAGTCTGTTTCCAATATTGGTTTCTTTCTAGAGTCATTTTTATCCAGTGTTTCAAAACAGGCATTATTGGCCATGATGTTTCATACCTGTCTCACCAACATTAGTGATGAACAGATCTTCCGTGATTTGGTTCATAGGATTACATTTCATAAATACAGAAAGTTAAGAGCAGCTTGATCCAATACCATGGGCTCTGTATGCATGGTTTCACCTCCCACATCCAACAAAATATACCTCTCTAGGAATTTCCTAGGTCCTCCAGGGTAACTCTATTGACATTTCAGGTTGTAGTCATACATTTCAATAGGGTTTGCAATGATCCATGGTTTCCTGTTGCCACTGTATCGGAGTCATACTATATAACGATTCTTTTGTTAATCTACATTTATTTTTCTTGAGAGATAATACTTTGGAAAGAAAGAGAGAAAAAAAGAACTATCTTCAGCCTTGACTATTTTTCCTTTAATACAAGCAGTCATATCAATATTTGAAGCCTGCTGTCTGAAAAGCTGCTTTTATTGGCATGTTGTAAATTTAAAATATGCTATTCATTAGGTTTCCTACCTATATAGAAATTCCTTTAGTTAGTATATACCTATGACAGGGCCCAAGCATCGAACATTGTCAGATACACATCTAGGACTTTTCTACTGTAAGTTTGTCCTCCTTGCTGTATTTGTGAAATATGCTCCAGTTATGCCATTTTAAACAAATGAACAACCCCCCACCCCACAGTTAGAGTCTTTCGTCCTTGGGTTAATTCCCATACTTATAAAGGAAACATATGAAGAAGCATCTTTGTGAATACTTATATTGTCATTGTCATGTCTACTTACGTACTTCTTTTTGATATTGGTTTATTTTATGAGTGTTTTCTGACTCTATTTGTTGCTGTAGAGTGCAAAGCCTGTCCTGCTGGTACTGAACCAGCTCTAGGACTGGAATACAAATGGTGGAATGTACTACCTCTCAATATGAAGACTTCTTGTTTCAATGTTGGAAATTCAAAATGCGATGGGATGAATGGTGAGTGAGTCTTCATGAACTGGTTTCTTATATTTTTTCAACATTTTGAAAGTTAGTGTGGTGTTTATAGATCTAAACTACACAAAACACTCAAAACATGATTAGCAGTTCTTACTGGTGTCGTAGAACTTTGTCCTGATGCTAAGCTTACTCTTTATATTGGTTCAAGACATTTATATTGATGCTCTTAAACCTGAGCCAGTATAGATTTGTTTACTCAGTGAATAGGCATTAAAAAGGAAGTGGGTTGATGAGTCTGTCTATATTTTGGGTTGTTGTAGGTTTTTTAAGGCTGTATGGCCATGGTCTAGAGGCATTCTCTCATAGTCTAGAGAGAATGCCTCTAGACCATGGCCATACAGCCCGAAAAAACCTACAACAACCCAGTGATTCCGGCCATGAAAGCCTTCGACAATACATTGTCTATATTTTGTCCAGTTATTTTCTTTAATGTGTTTAAACTGTATTTCTAAGATTGAATGCTATCTTACTTTATCAATATGATTTTCTTTTCAGGTTGGGAAGTAGCTGGTGATCACATTCGGAGTGGAGCTGGAGGTACAGATAATGATTACCTCATTGTGAATCTTCATGTACCAGGATTCAAGTAAGTAATAGTTTAATTTCCAAAATTCTATATTTATAATAGCTTTCACATTGAGTCATGTTTGTTAGCAGCTTTAGTATAGTTGTCTGATGATTACTGGGATCCTTACATAAACACTAGACTGATTTGATTTTTCGGTACAATATTTCTGTTGCTAAACAGAATATTTATTTATTATTTATTTTATTTACCATATTTATATACTGCCCCTCTCAACCTGGAGGCGACTCGAGGCGGTTTATCTTAAACCAGAATAATTCCGTCTTTATTTTTAAATGCGCCCTCCTGTTTCCTGCATTATAAATACACTTGTGGACCATAGGACATTTAATAAAAATTGCAATACAAGGCTCAGGCTAATCAACTCTTTCTGGAGGAAATGTTTTGAAATAAAATGACAACACTGGAAGATAATTTGCTAGATGGCTATTTCATTGTGTCATTGTCGGGCAAATGTTTTTTGAACCATCTTGTAATGGTTTAATTTCTTCTCTCTTGGGTAGACCTCCAACATCAGTAACTGGTGTGACTGGTTCAGAACTTGGAAGGATCACCTTTGTGTTTGAGACCATCTGTTCAGCAGATTGTGTGCTATATTTCATGGCGGTAAGCACCATGGGACATTTTTTTGAATAATTTTTTATTAATCAGTTTAAACATAAATACATGGAAAGAGGGGGAATATTCAGGAAAACGATAGGAAAGTAGGAAACACAATAAATAAAAAAGAACACAAAAAGAGAAGAAAAAAAGAACACAGAGAAAAAGAGAAAAAAATACAAAAAGTACAAAAATATAAAAACCAAAATTAAATAAAATGACTTCCATTCCAATCTCAGGAAATTCTTATCTTTTGTTTTGTTATTTTATTTACGTCTTTTTTGTCTCTTTCTTTTTTCTATTTCTATTTTTTCATAGTCATAAAAAAGAACCCAATCTGTCTTTTTATAGATTTCCTGGTATTTTTCTTTAACAAAAAAGTTAGTTTGTCCATGTCTCTTATTTCTTTGACCTTGTCCAGCCACTCCTCAATAGTGGGGATTTGTTCTTTTTTCCAAAATTTTGCAAAAATAATTCTCGCTGCTGTTGTAATAAATGTTAAGAGTTTGTCTTCATTTTCATCAAACTATTGTAGCCCAGGCATGTAAAAAAAAAAATTCCCAAGCACCATGGGAATTTTTTTTACATGCCTGGACTACAATAGTTTGAATACAAGTACAAGTGAACATATCCTGCATTCAGCAAATCTATCTGTGGCAAAATGATGTGTTTCCTGATTTTCCATGTTTAACTGTGTAGAGATGGAGCCCACAGAGCTTTTTTGTGGCCTTTAGAGACCCATCATAAGAATATTTAAAGTTAAAGTGAAAGTTGAAAGTGCAATGACCCAGGACTGTTTATGGACAACGGCTATGTTTTTGTGTGATATATGATGTTATTTTATGTGATGTGTTTAATAATGTTTAAAGGTTTATCAGGGGAGGGTCAATTTTGATGCCAAGAATGTGAACTTCCCTGAGTCCCCTTCGGGGTTGAGAAGGGTGGTATACCAATACTGCAAAAAATAAAAATAAAACAAATCTAAATGCACCATCTAGAATATGAGGAACATGTTTGCCACTTTTAATGGCAAACATGTTCCTCATGGGACTATAATAGCCCCAAGAGACAATGTCTTGGAAATACTTATGGAAGTATTAAGACACTTGAGACACCTTATGCAAACCAGGCAAACATCTAGGTCCATTGGGGAGACCTTGGTATCAACCCAGGCACCTTCTGGCATGCATTTTAAAAGGACCAGGGAGGGCTCATTTTCAGGGGTGCCCCCTGCACTATGGAACACACTGTCTGAAGCATTAAGATTGGCCCCTTCTTTAATTACATTTTGGAAGGGTGTGAAGATGTTCCATTTCGAGAAAGTGCTTAATTAAACCAAATAATTGGTAGTTTTTATCTTGGTTTTAATGTTCACATGGTTTCAATTGAGTTTGCTGTTTAAAATATTTATGTTTTAATGGGTTCTTTTAACTTCGTATTATATGTTTTTATTCTATTGTAACCGCCTTGGGTCTGTGCTCAGAGAAAGGCGGGATATGAATTTCTCAATAAAAAAAGTTATTCCTGTTTTTTAAAAAGCCTCTTCTGGTTCAGTATGGCTTGGTCAAATTGCTTCCCTGTCTCCTAGGAAGTGTCAAGGGAACACATGAGGACATTTTAATATATATAAGTGGTTGTAATGTGACCCTGAAAGTTCTCCCAAGACATTAATGTTCTCTCCTAATCCATGAGAGTTGCCTACTCCTATTGAAGAGCAGTTAATCCAGCACAATAGTTTTGTTACTGGGGTTCAGGTTATAACCAGCATCTAATGATAACAATGTATAGAGAGGGAATACAAGAAAGACCCCCAAAACACAGTTTCTCTTCTATGGGAACTGATATTGTCTTACATTCAAACAAAAGGTTTTTGTTAACATGGTACCAGGTATAGATTTTTCTTCATGGCCAAAACAGTAGTCACATCTGGAACTTCTGTGCCTCTCCTCCCACTAAAGTATTAAAATGAGATGTATGCATTGCTTAACAATCTTAGTTCTACAAGCTAATATTGTCTATTCGATGCCCTTTGTTTTCAGGACATCAATAAAAAGAACACAAATGTAGTGGAATCATGGAGTGGAATGAAGGAAAAGCAGTCATACACACACATAATAACAAAAAATGCTTCTTTTACATTTACATGGGCTTTCCAGAGAACAAGCCAAGGCCAAGATGTGAGTATTGCAATTATTTCTGGAAATAAACACCTTGGATGAACGTTTTTAAAATAAAAAACAACAACCTTGAAACCATAATAATGAATGACTGAATGACAATTTATTTCTATCCCGCCCTATCTCCCCAATGGGGACTCAGGGTAACTTATAAGCATCCAATCTATATATATATATATAAATGTAATGTTCGTTTGTGGGATTAACAGAATTCAAAAACCACTGGAGGAATTGACCCCAAATTTGGACAACATACACCTAACAACCCAATGTATGTCCTTCACTCATAAAAGCACTGAAAAACACATTAGAAGGGACTTAAAAAGCCCCCAAAAGCTAAATGATAAAAAGCTATATGACAATACAGAAAAAAGGAAGAAAGAGGGAGGGAAGGGGAGAAAAAAAAGAAAAGAAAGAGGGAGGGAAAGAAAGAAAGAAGGAAGGAAAAGGAGAAGGAAGCATGGAAACAAAGAGAGAAGGAGGGAAAGAGGTAGAGAAGGAAGAAAGGAGAGAAAGAGGGAGGGAAAGAAAAAGGGGGAAGGAAAGAAAGTTAAGGAAGAAAGGAAGGAGAGAAGGAAAGAAAAAAGGGAAAGAAGGAAGGAAAGAGGGAGCGAAGGAAGGGGGAAGATGTAGAGAAAAAGGGAGGGAAGGAAAGAAGGAAAGAGAGAAGGAAGAAAAGAGAGACAGCAGAAGAGAAAGAAAAGGGGGAAAGAAGGAAAGAGATAGAGAAGGAAGGAAGAAGAGAAGGAAAGACGGGAAGGAAGGGAAGAAGGAAGGAAGGAAGGAAGGAAGGAAGGAAGGAAGGAAGGAAAGAGGGAGTGAAGGAAGGAGGGAAAGAAGGAGAGAAAGAGGGAAGGTTGGCCACAGCAACACGTGGCAGGTACAGCTAGTGCCATATAAAAACACAAAATAACATAAACCAAAAGATAAAACCCAATTTACATTTACACAAGCAACAAAGACAATCAGACAATTGAACACAGACCAACACATTCACATTATAACCATTTCATATTTAACAGATTTTTTAAAAAATTAGATTTTAAAAGATTTATTTATTTATTTATTTATTTACAGCATTTATATGCCACCCTTCTCACCCCGAAGGGGACTCAGAGCGGCTTACAATATATATTTTCATACAATATATTATATTATTAGCATAGTACAATATCAGTATATATTACTATATTGCACTATACCGTTATATTGTAATATTATTAGTAATATTACATGTAATGTAAATATATAATTATAATTATAATATTGAATTATTATTACTAGTATTATATTGTATTACATTATAATATTATAAATATTATATGTATATACTATATTATATTATTAGTAAATACAAGATGGAAGTGTCTTCTGCTCCCTTCTGGAGCCAAATCCATATTCCACTTCTTGTTCATTTGTGCAAAGTATTTCAAGTATACCTCTCTCCATATGCCTGAGTCATAAGAATCCATGAACCAAAATTGGCCATAATCTATGGTTATAGACAAGAAGCTGAAATTATCTGTTTTGCACACATCATAAGCAAAATCTACTGACATCCATAATGCCATCAGATTTGCAGTTTGAGGCAGTAAGAGACAGGTGTGTGCTTTTGGGAGGGTATTACAATTATGCAGCTAAGACATTGTTTGCTTGGATGATGAAAGCAAAATGTACAACACACCTTCAGGTTATGATCTGCCTTTACTGCAGTTATAGCTGTGCTTATGGTCCAGATTATGATGCTAACCTGATAACTTTTCATTCTTTCACATAATCTGAACTATAATGTTCTGGCCGCTCTGTTTTCGTGGCAGTTGAAATTCCTTGCCAATCACCATCAGCTTAGACAATCAGTGATAAAGGTTCCATGCTCAAAATCCAATCTTATGTTTTAGTTTTGAATATAGGCAGCTCTAGATCACATGTGTCAAACTTAAAGTCTGCAGGCCAAATCTGGCCCATCATGTCATTTTATGTGGCCCTCCAGATGCTGGACTGCAACCCCTGCATTCCTCATCTTAGACATCATGACTGGAGCTGATGGTAGTTGTGATACAATAATGATGGAAATGCTGCAGTTTGTTCTGTTTGGTCAGGATAGTAGAGTTTGAATTTAGATACAAGGCTTGTGGATATGCTATCTGACTTTAAACTGCCTTTTAACCTTAACTGCAGAGCCACAACTGCTTTTTTGTTGCAAATCCCATTACCACCTGTCCATGTGGCAGATAATTCAAAGTGATAGGAGTTTTAACTTTGAATATATTTTAATGGATTTTAACTGTGAATTTTAAAATACTATTTATATTTAATTCTAAGTTCTTGTGGGTTTTTTCGGGCTATATGGCCACGTTCTAGAGGCATTTCTCCTGACGTTTCGCCTGCATCTATGGCAAGCATCCTCAGAGGTAGTGAAGATGCTTGCCTCTGAGGATGCTTGCCATAGATGCAGGCGAAACGTCAGGAGAAATGCCTCTAGAACATGGCCATATAACCCAAAAAAACCCACAAGAACCTATATTTAATTCTGTTTTAATGTTTGCATATTTGTATATCTTAAATTGTATGCTAATGCTTTTTTGTTAAGCCACTTTGAGTCTCCTTCAGGATAGATAAAGTGGGGTATAAATAAATATAATAATAAATATTAATATTTGGGGACCAAAATTCGGTCCCCACTAAAGAGTACCAGCCACTATGTAAAAACGTACAGTTATTATTATTAACTTTATTTGTACCCTGCTAGCATCTCCCGAAGTTACAAAGGCCAAGGCCTCAAAACACAACATAATACAACACCTAAAGCAAATTAAAAACAGTTAAAGCAATATTAAACAACAAGCAATAAACAATACATCAGAGAGTTGTCTCTCTGAATCCATGGATTCTCATGGATTCAGTGGCTCTTGTAAGGCAACCATGAGGCTGATGTGGCCCTCGATGAAAATGAGTTTGACATCCCTGCTCCAGGTTTTTACTCTTACTGTATTTGCCAAACTACAGTCTCACACTGTAGGCATTAAATGGCAAGAGTTATCCAAGTGAGGGGCTATTTAACGTTTTAAAAAAACCCACAGAAAGTATTTATAGTGATTATTTCATTACTGGAACATTATGATGATGTTTAAATTTTCATAGCACCAGAATACAGACATTAGCTACAGAGACTAGATATAGGTAGTCCCTGAGTTACATCCATCCAACTTACATCTGACTCCTAGTTAAGAATGGGGGTGAGAGGAAGTCAGAGAAAATCTTCTCCTAGGAAGGGAAATTCACTCTTGTAAGAGTTATTGTGGGGAAATGGTGTCTCCACTAAAGCTTTATCACCAATCATTATTTCGACAAAAAGCCAAAATTTTCAAAATGTAGTTGTCACAGGGACAGAAAGTGAAGTGAAATATTCTGAACAGGGGCACAGACAGCAAAACAAACATTAACCCTTCCCTATTGCTACAAAATGCCATAAAGGCACCAAATTCTATTTGATCTTGGAAGCTAAAGCGGGATCAGCTCTGATTACTAATAGGAGGCCCCTGATGAATACTAGGTGCTGTATGCTATATTTCAGAGGAAGGCAATGGAAACTACCTCTGACTCTTCCTTGTCTAAGAAAATCCAAAGAACAATTCATGGGGTTGACATAAGTTGACAGGTGGTCTGAAAATATATCCGCACACATTGAATTATATTGAATTACAAAAAGAAAGAAATAAGAATAACCAGAAAGTCACCCAGTAGAGGGCAGTGCATGTTAGTAAACCAGAGAAATGATTTAATGGGTCCATGGCTTTGTAATAAATTCAGGAGTCATTTTCTTTTACTTCTCTGAAACAACTTGCTTTGCTTACCACAGTTGTCTTATAATTGGTCATCTATAGTGCTTTGAAATTCTAAGTTCAATAATCAAGAATAAAATACAAGTGTTTGATGAAGTATTTGGAATGTGTCTCAGAAGTTATTCTTTTTATTGTTTCTTTACAGAGCAGGAAGCTCATCAATGATGTGGCAAAGATCTACTCAATCACTGTCACCAATGCCGTTGATGGTGTTGCTTCGTCTTGTCAGGCCTGTGCCATTGGTTCTGAACAGTTTGGTTCCTCCTGCATCCCCTGTCCAGCTGGGCACTATATAGAAAAAGAAACCAACCAGTGCAAGGAATGTCCTCCCAATACATACCTGTCCATTCATCAGGTGTATGGCCAAGAAGCATGTGTCCCTTGTGGCCCTGGCAGCCAAAGCACAGAGGTAAAGAAGAGTATTCTTGATGTTTAAACACAAATATGCATATAAATAGCCTGGACCAGATCAATGGCCTGTCTAATCCAACACTTTAGCAATAATAAATAACAAGAAGACTCTCACTCAGTTTCAGGTTCTCAACCAGTGGTAGCATTGGAAAGCTCTAAAGATCATGAGTAAAGCACAAGAGTTACAAAATAAAGAGCTTAGAAGCATGCCTTGTCACAGTAAGGGTCAGAAACCCCACAGGATTGCACTTGAGAAAGTTATCCAATTTTTTCTCTTTTGTTCCAACAAATGGTCAAGTTTAAATGGAAATGGTCAAGTTTTTGGTGGAGTAGGAATTAGGCTTGTTTAGGTTCTGTTTGGAAAAACCTTAAAGTCGGAAAACCCTGCCGAATTTGGACTTTTGAACCAAATTCGAAACATGCAGGGAGGGGCAAATCCGAATTTGAACTACTTACACATTTCTCGGAATTATTCTGTAATGTTCGGATGTCTCCCATGGTTATTTTGATTTTCAGAACCATTAAGCAACTTTGGTAAAGTCTAAACAAACAGTTTTAAAATCTCGCAGTTTCCCTTCCCTGGTGAGTAGCGATGCAAAGAGGGATGAGGTGGGCGTGGCTAAGCACAGCCATTCTTGAAGGCCATGCCCCCAATGGTAGAGATTGCAATAGGTCCTGTAGTTTAACAGCAGTACCTTGGAATAAAGGAAATATGTTCCACCCAGGAACATATTTCCTTTATTATTTAAAAAAAATACTTTAAAAATGAAAAAGTTTCCTTGGCAGGGGAGGGAAATTGAACCCACGGACTTATATTTATGAAGCCGGCGCACTCTCCCTGAGCCATGGCTGCCTATAGAAAATTTCCATTCAGAACTTGTATTTAAGCTGGGTCAGTCTCTAAAAACTTTTTATAAAAACTTTGAAAAAATGCCAAAAATCCATGGATAAGTCAAAAGTTATGAAATTTGATGAGTTAACAGTGATCCATGTGTTCTACCACTCTAGCAAGTTTCATCACGATTGGTCTAAAAATGAGGGAGGGACAATCCCCTGAAGTTTTCCCAGTGCCAATGCTGTTTCTTTCCTACTGCACATGTGTGTCTGCTATTAACGAAGTGATTCGGAAATTTCGGATATTTCTGCCTTTTTTTCCCGGAAAATATTGGAAATCATTTCTGATCCGAATCGCCAGCACCCCCTACATCCAAAACGAGTTTTGAACCATTTTCTTTGATCAAACAAGCCTAGTAGGAATTCTTCTAAATGCTTTTAAACAGCATTATCCCAGAACCCTTTCTCTCACTGCATATGTGGTGAACATGATAATGGTGCTGACATCTGGACCCTTCTCAGTCACAACAGTGACCATTTTTGCGGGTTTCCTTCTGGCCCTTGAGTGATTTTTTGATAACTTGATTGACTATAAGCATTCACATCTGTTTTGCTCTCCTTTCTTAGGATCATTCTGCCTGCTTTAGTGACTGCCTGCTTACTTATGCCAAAGACAATCAGAGTCTGAACTATGATTTTAGCAGCCTCAGTACAGCAGGCTCTTTAATGAATGGACCGAGCTTTACAGCAAGAGGAACAAAATTCTTCCATTTCTTCAACATCAGCCTCTGTGGAAACCAAGTAGGTGCTTTACCCAAGTATGGCATCTCCTGTTCTTCCTTCTCACAGCTCAGATCACTACCCATGTCATCCTGTTTGTTTTGCCAGTTGCAGTCCAAATCGTTAGCTCAAGATAGATCAGTTCACTCTAAACTTTTTTGGAAAGAAGGAAAAGCTTAACACAGGACTCTAAATTTGCCCTCCCCCCATCATTCTATAAGTAGAGTGGTAGCAGATACTTTACTAACTTACATTTCAAGCCATTTTTTATGTCAGTCGTCATGCTCCCACTGAGGCGTATGAGATTTCCCTAGTGCCGCATTGTTCCTAATTTTTTAGGATTGCTCAAGTGACAGACCCTGGAAGAATTGCATTAATTTTCATTGTTCTTGTGTGTCTTCAGCAATGTCAGTCCATAGTCTAATATGATTGAAATTATAGAAACATAATGCCTTTCATTGTGTGGTCTCTTGTGCCCAAAGATGTATAGGGACAGAGCCTTCTCGGTGGTGGCCCCTTGACTCTGGAACTCACTCCCCAAGGACATTAGGCATGCCCAACTCTGGCAGTCTTTAGGAGGAGCCTGAAAACGTGGTTGTTCCAGTGTGCCTTCCCAGAATAAGGAAACCCTAAGCAATATGTCCCTAAATGCACTTTACTAGTGATCTAGGATTGTCTGCTCGCTCCTTCCCTCTCGAAATACCTATCCTAGTTATATGTCACCTGGTCATGCCCAGCATTATTTTTAAATTTTTAACTACTACATTTGGCCCTGCCATGGGTTTGTAATGCGTCATGGTGTTATTGTTAATGTTTACTGCTTTGTTTATGATGTTATTTTTATCTGTATTGTTGTTGTTGTTTTTACTGATGTGTTTCGACTCGGCCTCTTGTAAGCCGCACCGAGTCCTTTGGGAGATGGTAGCGAGGTATAAATAAAGGTTTATTATTATTATTATTATTATTATTATTATTATTATTATTATTATTGTCATGTCAGGAGTGACTTGAGAAACTGCAAGTCGCTACTGGTGTGAGAGAATTGGCCGTCTGCAAGGACGTTGCCCAGGGGACGACCGGATTATTTGATGTTGTATCATCCTTGTGGGAGGCTTCTCTCATGTCCCTGCATGAGGAGCTGGAGCTGATAGCGGGAGCTCATCCGCCTCTCCCCGGATTCGAACCTGCGACCTATTGGTCTTCAGTCCTGCCGGCATGGGGGTTTAACCCACTGTGCCACTGGGGGCTTCCATTATTATTATTATAGTCTGGAATGAGCAATCCAGAGGGAAAAAGGATGTAAAAACCAATTACTGCACCAAACAGGGGTTTAAAATGTGAATATTTTAACAAATTCTATTTATTTATTTTATTTAGTACATTTCTATACCGCCCCTCTCAGCCTTCCGGCGACTTGAGGCGGTTTACAAGGCAAGAATTCAATGCCACCAAGGACACAATTACAATATACAATATAAAAAATATCAGCAATAATAAAATCAAACATTATAATGAAACATACTTCAGTCAATAATCATTAAAACAATGTCCAGTTCTGCCATATAGTTATTCCATTATTATATCCGTTACTCCATATTTTCAAATGCCCGCTCAAATAGCCATGTCTTAAGATTCTTCTGGAATGATAGGAGTGAGGAAGCCGATCTAATCTCCCTAGGAAGGGTGTTCCACAGCCGAGGGGCCACCACTGAGAAGGCCCTGTCTCTCATTCCCGCCAATCGTACTTGTGATGATGGCGGGACCGAGAGCAGGGCCTCTCCAGATGATCTTAAAGTCCTTGCAGGTTCATAAGGGGAGATTAGTTTGGACAGGTAACTTGGGCCAGAAACTATCTGGAGGGTAATGAAATATTTTTAGCTGATCACAATCAGTATTTTCACCTTGAAAACAAATGTGGAGAATATTCATGGTAGCCCCATTTTATTGCCATTGTTCTGAGAAGCTAGGTGTCAGCTGAGTAATTGTAAACTACATTAAGTTTTTGTTATGCTTGTGTAATGGGTGAAATACAGATTTCCACACCCATATATTTGCAATACTGGTGAGATCTATAATTAAATACTTCATTCATTGCTTGTTGAAATATGCCAGCCATTCTTTCAGTACTGTACATATCAAGTACGCCCTCCATTCTCCCAATTCCTGCATTAGCTTCAAGTGAGGTAGCATATCATTAACTAAATGCCAAAATACATTTAACTTGCAAGCTAATTTATTATGCTGTTCAAGAAAACAGCATGGTTCCTTGATGATTTTTTTTTTTTAAAAATGCCATTTCCCAACATCAGTTCTCATTAAATACAGGGTGGAAGGTGACTTCACTGTATGAAGTAAAGGACTTTTGCAATCTATGCTGGTTCTTTCGTGAAAGTACAGCCCATGTTTTATAGACTATTTCCTAATTTGTTGATAAATTCACTTTAAGTTTTATTGCTGTTTTTAAGTGGAATTGAATCTTGCCAGAGTTATAAGCCACCTTATCTCCTACAGAGTGAGAAAGGCAGGGTATAAATGAAGCAAATAAATAAATAAGTCATAGTGAGCAGTATGCAACCTCTGTTTTGCAAGATGTTTGGAAATCCCTCATAGCCGCCACATCCTTGTTACCCTTCACTGTCATTTGACATTCACAGGGGGGAAAGGTCGCAATATGTGCAGATAACATAACCGATATTACACTAAAGGATATGGTAGCTGAGTCAGAAGATTTTTCCAATGTTGTAAGGGCTTTTGTTTGCCAGTCGACTATCATACCACCCGACAGCAAAGGATTCCGAACTGCTCTGGCACTTCAGTCCAACAGCCTCGCTGATACGTTTTTTGGTAAGCACTTCAGTCTTTTGCTTGCTCTTAATAAAGACTTCACAGAACTGAAAATAGGTGTGGGGATGACTTATTTGACTTGACCTGTGACTCGTATTTTGTGGTCTACATAATTGCTCTCTGGCGGAGATTTGTTGCAATCTGCTATGATAACTCTCAAATCCTGAAAGTTTCCTCATGACTCTTCTTCTAGAATTCTGCCTATCAAACATAAATCATTTCCAAACTTCATGATAAATCACACGCTATATCTTAAGACACAAGAAAAAGAGGGATTATCCTATTAATGTCAAGCACGATTAGGTAATGAGGCATAGATACCTCAAGACAGGACTAGGTCAGATGGCATCAGCCAATTTTTTTTTGACATCCTTGGTAATTATGGAACTATCATGGGCTCTGGACAGCATCATCAGAACTCTCTTCTCAACAACCTGTAAATACTACTTCTTTTAGTATCGTGAATAAGTAGACAGGCAAGCTAGTTACAGTATCATGCAGCTTTGTCAGTTAAAACCTCATTGCTTTATTAATCCTTTAGTTCTGTCGCCGCTGGGCCTGTAGTTAGTTGACTTTAAGAATAGGATGTGTAACCTTTGCCCAGCGGGAAGCCAGGGGCCCCAAGGAGAAGTTCTCAGGGGCTTCCTTTACAAAAGAATCTTCAGATGCCTTGAGAAATACAACAAAGTCTTTTATTAATGAAATCAAACAGGAACTGCAAGGCTTTCTTGATAAAGTATTGGTTCTCTCAATCTTGTCCACAGGGGACAGGCATTCTCTTCAATAACTTTTCTTTAAAGGAAAATTCCCCCTTTCTAACTTCTCCCAGGCTGACTAAAATCCAACCCTCACTGATGTGTGCTTTGCTACCGGGCCGAACTGCTTCTTGGACGCCGAGTGGACCTACCAGCAAGGCAGTGGATGTTCTTCAGCTGGAGTTCTTTAGCCTTTAAGGCTGTTTTCCTGGAGTTCTTAAAGCTGTTCTCCCCTGGATTGCTTAAAGCTGTGGGAATGCTTCCCTGGCGTTCTTTCCCTGGAGATTCTTAAAGGTTGAAGCCTTTGTACAGGGGAAGTTACACACATCCTATACATTGGTTAACCTAGCATAGACTAACTAACAAAATGGCTCACTTCCCTCCAAAGCCCAAAAAGGGGGCGGGACTAGGGAACCTAATAATAATTGACAAGCAATTGACCCAATAACTGCAAAGTAAGGAAAGCCATCTAACTGCAAAGGCATAGAACTTTAAAATACATGCAGCAATCAACAAATAGCAAGATAAGCTGGAGTCCCTGGTGCGGCTGCCCCAGAACACCTATCTTATTAACAGATCACATTTAAATATATTCCCATATTCCTAACAAATAAAAGTGTGGCCATTAGATAGGATTAGGAGAAAATCTTGCCTGGAACTCCAGAACTCCAGTCAGAGTTGCCAGTAATGGATTTAAATGAACCAATGGTCTGGCTCAGTATAAGGCAATGTCGTGTGTTTCCTATGTTCCTAGTTAAAACTCTGTCATAAAAAACTATTCCACCTGCACCAGTTTGCTTTTGCTACTTATAATTTCCCTCTCTCTGTTAAACTACAGGGGTGGGAAAAATTACAGCTAGTAGTTCTCATGGAGCACCTAGGTCCCACTTTTGTTGTCCCTGGATATCCCCACCTGTCCCACAAACTTATTTATTTATTTACTTCATTTCTACCTCACCTTTCTTGGCCATGGAGGCAGCTCAAGGCAGCTTATAAATCCAGCAAAAATTTAATGCTGCACAGAAAAACAATAAAAAACATCTCATCAAAATATAAAACAATCTGAACATATAAGTAATCAAAATACATATCAATTAATTGTTAATTGCCCAAGATCACCCAGTGCCTCTCTATGGCTGAGTGGGGATATCAATATCAAATTTCCCCCAGGTTTTTTAAAAGTTTATGCTATTATTTTGACTCAACTTTTACGTGAAATCTCACAGAAAGGACCTCAAACGTATGAAAATACATGTGAAAATACCTACACAGACCCACAGAACCCCCTCCTCCTAAATATTTATGTTTTCTTCTGTAGTTCTTTTCAGAATGGTGTCAGGAAGCAATGTGATATCATTTTTGGTTGCCATTTTGAAAGGAACTGTAGAGGAAAATGGGTTTTTGGATTTGCTGTGTGCTTGTTCAGAGGCCCACCCTGTCAAAGCATCTGGTTGAAATTGGCTTTTGCTTCTCACACAGTCATCCACACATTGATTTAATTGATGAAGATTTAAATTGATCACATTTTGTATGCCCTCATTGGTGCCTCTTCATCCACCAAAAAACATTGCTACTCTCAAAACATTACATTTAGTTTTCGTGTATTGTTCAGTTTCAGTCTCATCGTTTTTTTAAAATCAGCTTTGAATGTGCAGAAACACAAACGTAGAATGCACAATATTACATGGAGAAAATGTAAACTTCCAGATAAATTAAATGTTTTATCCATATTTGCAATGACTCTGTATGATACAGTGCAGATAAATTGGTCATTATTGCATACTTGATGTAATTATGATGTTGTTGTTTATTGTTTGCGTTTTCGGTTTGCATTTTCGGTTTTACTCTGTTGTAATTTGTTGTTTGGACTTGGCCTCATGTAAGCCACTGCGAGTCCCCATCAGGGAGATGGTGGCGGGGTATAAATAAAGATTATTATTATTATTATTATTATTATTATTATTATTATTATTATTATTATTATTTGATAAGAATGTCCACAAAAATCTTAGCATTTATTATTTCAAGTTAACATTTTTTTTCCTTTGCAGGAGCTACCATTGAAACGACACTGGGAGATATAACTGTAAAGCCAGAAATGTTTGAACATTCTGAAAACAAAATACCCGATGTGCATTTTTATTACAAGTAGGTAGAAGGTTTGTTAGAAGGATGAGACTCTCTCTCTACAGCTCAAACCTGTAAAATATTTTTACCTGTATGCTTACAGTATTCTTCATGCTTTTATCCAGAAATAAGCATTATTAAGTTCAATGCCTCTAGGTAAATATATGCAGCATTGTATTGTTCAAGGCTTTCATGGCCAGAATCACTGGAGTGTAGTTTCTAGGCTGTATGGCTGTGTTCTGGCAGCCTTTTCTCCTCACGTTTCACCTGCATCTGTGGCTGGCATCTTCTGAGGATCTGATAGTGGTAAATGCAAGTGGAGTATATATGTTGTTGTTCATTCGTTCAGTCGTCTCCGACTCTTCGTGACCTCATGGACCAGCCCATGCCAGAGCTCCCTGTCGGCCGTTACCACCCCCAGCTCCTTCAAGGTCAGTCCAGTCACTTCAAGGATGCCATCCATCCATCTTGCCCTTGGTCGGCCCCTCTTCCTTTTGCCTTCCACTTTCCCCAGCATAATTGTCTTCTCCAGGCTTTCCTGTCTCCTCATGATGTGGCCAAAGTACTTCAATTTGTCTCTAGTATCCTTCCCTCCAGTGAGCAGTCAGGCTTTATTTCCTGGAGGATGGACTGGTTGGATCTTCTCGCAGTCCAAGGCACTCTCAGAACTTTTTTCCAACACCACAGTTCAAAAGCATCTATCTTCCTTCGCTCAGCCTTCCCTAAGGTCCAGCTCTCACATCCGTAGGTTACTACAGGGAATACCATTCTTTGACTAGGCGGATCTTTGTTGCCAGTGTAATGTCTCTACTTTACTATTTTATCGAGACTGGACTTTGCTCTCCTCCCAAGAAGTAAGCGTCTTCTGATTTCCTGGCCACAATCTGCATCTGCAGTCATCTTTGCACCTGGAAATACAAAGTCTGTCACGGCCTCCATATTTTCTCCCTCTATTTCCCAATTGTCAATCATTCTTGTTGCCATAATCTGGGTTTTTTTTATGTTTATCTGCAACCCAGCTTTTGTGCTTTCTTCTTTCACCTTGATTAGAAGGCTCCTCAGCTCCTCCTCGCTTTCGGCCATCAGAGTGGTGTCATCTGCATATCTGAGGTTGTTAATGTTTCTTCCAGCAATTTTCACCCCAGCTTTGCATTCATCAAGCCCCGCACATCGCATGATGTGTTCTGCATACAAGTTCAAAAGGTTGGGTGAGAGGATGCAGCCTTGCCGTACGCCTTTCCCAATCTTGAACCAGTCTGTTGTTCCGTGGTCAGTTCTGACTGTTGCTACTTGGTCCTTGTACAGATTCCTCAGGAGCGAGACAAGGGGGCTTGGGATGCCCATCCCACCAAGAACTTGCCACAATTTATTATGATCCACACAGTCAAAGGCTTTAGAATAGTCAATGAAGCAGAAGTAGATGTTTTTCTGAAACTCCCTGCCTTTCTCCATTATCCAGCGGATATTGGCAATTTGGTCTCTCATTCCTCTGCCTTTTCTAAACCCAGCTTGAACATCTGGCAACTCTAGCTCCATGTATTGCTGGAGTCTTCCTTGCAGGATCTTGAGCATTACCTTACTGGCATGAGAAATAAGGGCCACTGTACGGAAGTTTGAGCAGTCTTTCGCATTTCCCTTTTTTGGTATGGGGATATAAGTTGATTTTTTCCAGTCTGATGGCCATTCTTGTTTTCCATATTTGCTGGCAATGGCATGCATCACCTTGACAGCATCATCTTTTAAGATTTTAAACAGTTCAGCTGGGATCCCGTCGTCTCCTGCTGCCTTGTTGTTAGCAATGCTTCTTAAGGCCCATTCAACCTCACTCCTCCGGATGTCTGGTTCTAATTCATTCACCACACCGTCAAAACTATCCTCAATATTATTATCCTTCCTATACAGATCTTCTGTATAGTCTTGCCACCTTCTCTTGATCTCTTCAGCTTCTGTTAGGTCCCTGCCATCTTTGTTTCTTATCATACCAATTTTTGCCTGAAATTTACCTCCAATGTGGGAGTATATATATACTTGTGGACATTCCACAAGGAGTATATATATACTTGTGGAATGTCCACGGTGGAAGAAAGAACCAATGTCTATCAATTAAGTGTGAAGGGTGGAATTAGCAAGCCTGATTTGCAAGTGTTTGAGTGGGATCCACTCAACATTGATCACTAGACGTTTTTATTGATGCTAGTATACTGTTGATTGTTTTAATTAGTTATAACTGTGATAGTATATGGTAATTTGTGTATTGTATATTGTATTGTATTTTGTAACTGTTAGGCATGGAATTGTGCCTTTTGTAAGCCGCCCTGAGTCCCCACTAGGGGTTGAGAAGGGCGGGGTAGAAGCACCCCAAATAAATAAATAAATTACCACCAGATGCCCCTGGTGGCACAGTGGGTTAAAGTGCTGAGCTGCTGAGCTTGTTGACCGAAAGGTTGCAGGTTCGATTCTGGGGAGCGGCGTGCGCTTTCGCTGTCAGCCCTAGCTTCTGCCAGCCTAGCAGTTTGAAAACATGCAAATGTGAGTAGATCAATAGGTACCGCTCCGGCGGGAAGGTAACGGCACTCCGCGCAGTCATGCCGGCCACATGACCTTGGAGGTGTCTATCGACAAAGCCGGCTCTTCGGCTTAGAAATGGAGATGAGTACCACACCCCAGAGTCAGACATGTCAGGGGATAACCTTTTAAATGGACATTGCATTACAATAGTGAGGGCGTCTGCCTGGAAGTAGCCAGGCCTTTGTTCCCTTGGAGTCTATAATGCCTGGAGGCATCCTTTGTCTGGGTGGTGTTCACTGGCCCTAGATTGCTTGCTGTCTGGGGGCTTCATGTGCCTGGGTGGTGTTCATTAGTCTTGTTTCTGGTGATTTTCAATACTCAAAGAACGTGAAAGGCACTGCAGACTACTTCAGCCAGAAAAAAAACAGCTATAGCAAAACACAGGATAAACCGAGCTGGGCACAGAATATTATTTGGAAACACAAAAATTCTGGACTACTTTGACAACCACTTTGTCGGACTACACAGAGAAGCCATTGAAATCCACAAGCATGTGTAAAGGGGAAAAAAACTTGAAAATGAACAAAATCTGCTTATTGGTATTGAGAAACACCTGAATCAAGACAGTAACTAATGAACAACACCCAGACAAAGGATGGCTACTTCCAGGAAGATGTCTTCACTCTATATACAACATTGCTGCTGAGTTAGTAGATGGTTATTTCTTTATTTATATATGCTCTATGTTCCCATGATGTACAGGTATGAACCAAAGGTAACAATGGCAGCAACGACCTCCCTGTTATGTTCCTTGTCATTCAAACTGAGCTTTAACTGACCATTCAGTTATTCTCATACTTGCTGGTCCCATGTTTTTATTTATTTATTTATTTATTTATTTATTTATTTATTTATTTTTATATGCTGCCACTTCCCTAGGGGAGCGGCTTACAAGAATGGCTAAAATCTAACACAATTTAAAAACAATTTAAAACAATTTAAAAACAGCAATATCAAAAATCAAAGGCCTGTCGAAACAGGTATGTCTTACATGCCCTGCGGAAAGCTGATAAGTCCCACAAGGCACGACTTCAGGTGGCAGAGTATTCCAGAGTGATGGTGCCACTGCTGTGAAGGCTCTGCATCTGATTGCTGTTAGACGCAAGGTCTTGACACTGGGAATTTCCAATAGATCTTGGTCCTCAGAACGGAGGGATCTCTGGGGTTGGTAGGGGGTGAGGCGGTCCCTCAGATACATCGGCCCCAGACCATGCAAGGCCGTAAAGGTGAGTACCATCACTTTGAAAGTGATCCGGTGCTCAATTGGTAACCAATGCAGCTGTAGTAAGATTGGTGTTATGTGGCATCTCATCGGAATTCCCGCAAGAAGCCGAGCAGCTGCATTTTGTACCAACTTGAGCTTCCGGATCACCGACAGAGGAAGGCCAATGTAGAGGGCATTATAGTAGTCCAGTCTTGAGATGACCGTAGCCTGGATCACCGTAGCTAGGTCGTCCCTGGACAGGTAGGGGGCCAGCCGTCTAGCCTGCCGCAGATGAAAAAAAGCGGTTCTGCTAACGGCGGAGACCTGGGCCTCCATCATCAGCAGAGGGTCCAAAAGGACTTCCAGACTCTTTACCAATGATGATGGGCATAGCGCTCATCATCCAGGGTAGGCAGCTGGATATCCCCACTGCCCGGTTGACCCAGCCATAGGATCTCCGTCTTTGCTGGATTCACCCTCAACCTGCTGGCACACAGCCATCCAGTAACGGCCTCGAGGCACTGATGGAAATAATCGGGTACAGAGTCCGATCGGCCTTCCATCTTCAGCACAAGCTGAGTGTCATCGGCGTACTGATAACACTCAAGCCCAAAACCTTGAACCAGCTGAGCAAGTGGTCGCATATAGATGTTAAACAACAGAGGGGAGAGAATGGCCCCCTGAGGAACCCCACAAGATAGAGGGGACCTCTCAGAGACCAGGCCTCCCCTTAAATTTAAGGCCCAAAATGTCATGAGTGACATCAGTCCTGAGGTGACTGACAGGCAGGTAAAGCATACCTAGGACATTCAATTCTTCAGGTGTCTTTGATGTTCCAATTTTATTTTTGTTTATATCTATATTTATAACCTACCTTACTTATGAAACCTCATGCTGCCTGCTAACTGTATGTGTCAACACAAATATTCAACACTACTGTATTTAGAAGCAACACTTGTAACAGAAAAGCATAAAATTCTGAGATACAGGGGATATGAGGACAAAGAAGGCCTCATTTATCTCTGAGAAGACAAATGTGTTGATGTGCTATAAGACATGCTCTTAAGCAACAACATAATGATGAGAGTGATGACTTTGTTTTATACTTGTTCTCATTTCTGTGTAGGTCTTCAGGAGCTACAGCGACTTGTGAAAATGGTCGCGCTTCTGTAGTGACAATGAGGTGCAACCCTGCAAAACCTGGTCAAGGAGAAATTTCAGTTCCCAGGTATCAGTTACAAATTGTGATGTATATGTTATTTTCTCTCCTCTGATAACTTTTGCTATGCTTCCCAAAAATATTTGAGCTTTTAAAAAGACTTTCTCCTATATGTCACCCAGGGAAGGAGCTCCAGATTTGCTTTCAACTTTATGTGTGGTGAAATCTATAGCTAGCTGACAGTTTGGATCTCATTCTTCCTTTCTCAAAGAACTTCATCACTGATCTCCTTCTCTGAGAAATTTTACTAAGCTTATTCAATAATATTTTGTCTTTTTTTACATTCCTTCAGTATGTCACCAGGGAGGAACCACCACATTTCCTTTCAACTTCATTTGAGCTGGAATTCCAGTGATAGTTGACAGTTTGGACCCCACTCTTTCTTAAGGAAGTTTGCCACACATTTATGAAAGCTCTCTTTATTTCCCTTGAAAATCCTTAGGAGAAATCCAACTTGAGCTTATTTTTCAGCCTGCTTTTCAGTCATGTCTGAAATATCATATATTTCCTCATCTGGTCCATTTTGCCTCAAGTGATTTGCAGGGTTCAAATGGAGGAACTTTAAACAACCTTGCAGTCTCCCAAATCCCTTGCTTAGGGATAATACTTTCCTGCAATAATTTTGTTTCTTTCTCTACCCTGTGTGCTTTCATGACCTTTGGGATAACCCCCTCCCACCAATAGTATTTCCATATCTATTGGGTAGCAGTTAATAATCCCACATGAGAACCTTCTCCGAGCAGCAAGGTACTGTACTGGCATAGCAAAGGACCCAAACTAAAGCTAGAAAGTGCATGGCAAATGTGTTGGTGTGTCAAGATGCTGTTCCAGCATATTGAAGGATGTGAGCTAAAACTAGAAAAAGCTACAGTTAAGATAAATACAAGTATGAGCCAAAATGATATAAGCTTTCTTTCTGCTGAAGTCAATTTTCTATAATGTTCTGGGGGAGAACAGTCAAAGTGGTCAGCAGGCTAGAGCAATTGACACCTATTACTCTAGTCCTCCTCATACACTGTTTTACCACTATAACACACCATCGCTTATTTTAGCCAGAGTTGTTCATAAAACCACAACACCAGCTTTCTAAAAGTCAGGAGAGATGGGGCAGTTCTAATCTCTAGTGGGAGAGAGTTCCAGAGCCGAGGGACCACCGCCGAGAAGGCCCTGTCCCTCGTCCCCACCAGACGCGATTGCGAGGATGGTGGGACCGAGAGCAGGGCCCCTCCAGAAGATCTCAACAACCTTGATGGTTCATAGGGGAGAATCCGTTCAGACAGGTAAACTGGGCCGGAGTCATTTAGGGATTTATAGGTCAACACCAGCACTTTGAATTGTGCTCAGAAGCTAATTGGCAGCCAGTGGAGCTGGCGCAACAGAGGAGTAGTATGCTCCCTGTACCTCGCTCCTGTTAGTAATCTGGCTGCCGCTCGTTGGACTAATTGCAGCTTTCGGGCAGTCTTTAGAGGCAACCCCACGTAGAGAGCGTTGCAGTAGTCTATACGGGATGTAACCAGAGTGTGGACCACCGTGGCCAAGTCAGACTTCCCAAGGTACGGGCGCAGCTGGCGCACAAGTTTTAATTGTGCAAAAGCTCCCCTGACTACCGTTGTGAAGCTGAACACTACAGTATCAAGAACTAGCAGTCTGTCTAAATCAGTTTTGTATACCATTACTTATGAGAGGATTCCTTTTGCAAATGATGACACTTCCTTGATCTACTATGGTTCCGTTTTATAGATCTTCTTGCTACTGGATAACAGATTTGAGTCATTCATTCATTGGAATTCTCAGCTTGTAGAGAAATATCTAACTAATAATGTGTAGTGTGTGTACATATTTATATGCGCTGCTGAAAGAATGTCCTCCAATTTTTTGGGAAAGTGAGAATAATGCAACTGCCTTCTTTTAGATTTGGAACAAAATGTACAACCCACTTTTTCATATATAATCTTTTTGTAGTTCTTGCCCTGCAGGTACCTGTGACGGATGTACCTTCTACTTCTTGTGGGAAAGTGCTGAAGCCTGTCCCATGTGTACAGAACAGGACTACCATGAGATTGAGGGAGCTTGTAAAAAAGGACATCAGGTAATTAATTACTTGCACATTAATAATGTGGGCAGAAAAAGTTGGAGTTTCTGATTGCAACACTGGAGCCACTGGAGTGGAGAAGAGAGGAAAGATCTGCCTTTGGTCAGACCATTCTTTCCCCACTTTAGCCAACCCAGATGCCTCTGATAATCTTATGGGCAGAATATAAAGGCAGTTATATTCATTTAAATGGTATCCTGTATTCAAAACACTGCCCTTGAAAGTACCTAGTAGGCAAACTATTTTACAAAAAACCGTCACCTGTACTCGCTCTTAACCTTCCCACTTATATAAATTTTATCTTTTAATTATTCCTTTTATACCTTTGTTATATTAAATTCATTCCTAATTTCTACATTTTCTAATGTAAGTTATATCTTGGTAATCCCATCTTTTTCGTGATAATTAAAAGTAAATTATTATTCAAACCTGCTGATACCAGCCCCCTTCTTTGAATATCAAGTAGAATGTGAATTCCAATTTTGTGCAAAGTGTTTTTCTTCAGTAGCAGAGTTAACTTGTTCATCTGTGCAATGTCTAGTGATTTACTAATTCATTTCTGTTCAGATGGAATCTTTGATATTTTTCTAGTATTTAGCACCAAGTACTTTTGCTGCTGTCATCATGTCCTGAGAAGCTGGTTTTATGGAGATTATGAAAATGGGAATGAAGAAAAATCTGTTGATTACTTTCAGTTAAATGTATTGTTGAAGGCTTTCATGGTTGGAATCACTGGGTTGCTGTAGGTTTTTTCAGGCTATATAGCCATGTTCTAGAGGCATTCTCTCCTGACATTTTGCCGGCATCTATGGCAAGCTTCCTTAGAGATTGTGAGGATGTGGGACAGGCTTCAGCACTTTCCCACAAGACGTAGAAGGTACATCCATCATAGGTACCTGCAGGGCAAGAACTACAAAAAGGTTATATATGAAAAAGTTGATTATACATTTTGTGGCCATATAGCCCGAAAAAACCTACTCTCAGTTAGTTGGATATTAGGCTTGAGTGGGGCATGTTAAATATCATAGATATCATCATATTTTTGTCAACCACTCTGTCTTATGCTCTCACACCGGATGAATCTCAAGGCAGGATATACAACAATTTAATGCAAATACAGTAATATTTATTGTGTCTCTATGTTTCTTAGGAAACTTTATATGTATGGAATGAACCAAAACTATGTATAAAAGGGGTTTCACTGCCTGATAAAAAGACCATCATCTGTGAAACAGTGGATTTCTGGCTGAAAGTTGGAGCAGGTGTGGGAGCTTTCACGGGTGTCCTGCTGATTGCTTTAACCTGCTACTTCTGGAAGAAGAATCAGAAGTAAGTATGGTGTGCTTATTAATTGACCAGGACTATCAATAGCTAGAAGTTGTGCTAGGAGGTTAGAGCCACGAAAACCAGATCCAGATAGACCACTCTTGAACGTGCAAAATTCCATCCTAAACACAGACACTGAGAGCTTTGAATAAATTTAAGTTCTCCTGTCTTTCTCCATCTTCTGGGATGGCCGGCCATCCCATGTCCTTATCCGCCAATGCCCATCTTTCCCTTGCTCTCTCCTGTTTTAAGGCTCCATTTCCATGCACTGCAGAAATGAAGCCCTATTGGAAATGCCTTTATGTTATTTGATGGCTTCCATGGGGCTCCTGTGGGACTCCTTTTCTGAAGTGCATGGAAACTGTCAAGACCCAGAAGCCTTAATGACGCCAAACACGATGTAAAATGTCAAAACACAAGTTTATTGGTTACAAAAAAGGCTTGACAACACTTACTTCAGTGTCCCAAGTAAGAACTAAGAGTTTGTAGCAAACGCAAGGTGAAAAAAGCAACTTAAATATAATCCGGATTATCCTGGTATATAATCCGGTATAACAAAAACATGTAGCAATCCGCTTGAAATTCACAGTGTCCAAAGAGCATACAAAAACAAGTTGATAATGAGCAAAAACAGTGTCCAAAGGCAGTCTGAAGTCCAAACATGTTCCAAGCAAGTTGAGATATTCCAAAACACGTAGCCATTGTCAAACACGATCCAAAGTCAAAAACAGGAGAGTAGAAGTCATCACTTATGGAGTTTCAAGAAGTAAACACAGGAACACGGAGATCTGTAGTCCAAGGACCCAAACTCAAGAATTGGCAGGAACAAAGAATCACGCACAAAAAGACACTTCGCCTTCTGCAAAGACCCATTGAAACAAAACCCACTTATATCCTAAAGTTCCTCATCAGAAGATGAGGTGCTCCCCACCCTTTCATCATCGCTCTCAGCTGCCCCATTCCCTGCAGCTGAACCCAGACCCCCATCCCTCCACCTTTGCCAACGTCTGTCAAGACTTAGATCTTGCCAAGTGCTCCCCGGTTGCCACTCTTCTGTAAACCCCTCAAAGTCATCGCTGGAGGTAGGCTGGGTACAGATACCCCTAATCTCCTGTACATGGGTCCAATCAAGCTCATCCTCCTCCCCCATGTCACTCCCAGTCCCATTACACCCTTCAAAGCCCATGAAGTCTTCATCCTCTGTAGGAGCGCTAAGTATATCACGGATACGCTTCCTTTGAATCTCCTCGTCAGATTCTTGTTCGTGAGTAACCCGCTTGACTCCCCTGCTTTCCTCCCCATCCCCCATTTCACAGTCAGAGAAACCCTCGAAAGTTTCAGAATCAGTCGAGGCCATGATTATCTCTCTAATCCACTTTCGCTGCTGCTCCTCTTCAACACCTGCGCAGCCCTCTTCTCCCTCCTACCAGTAGTAGCAATGTTACCATCACGCTGTACTACAATGGAAACTGAGAAATAAACCCAAGGGATGAAGTTGTTAAACAGTTTTAAAATTCAATATTTAAGTGTTTTAACTATTACTATTATTATTATATTTATTTATATCCCGCTTTTTTCTCTCCATACGGAACCTCAAAGCGGCTCACAACTGAAAGCATTTTAGCACAACAAAATATACAAATATTAAAACAGTATTAAACAACATTAATATTTAAAACCACAAAAGCATAAAAAATCATATCACAAAAGCATAGCAGATCTCAATGATCTTAAACACCTTCATCTTTAAAAGCCTGCTTGAATAGAAAAGGTTTAGCTTCCTCTGGAAGGACAGGGAGTGGGCCATTCTGTCTTCCCTGGTCAGGGAGTTCCAGAGTCATGGAGCAGTGACTAAGAAGGCTCGCTCTCTCATTTCCACAAACTGAGCTTGAGATGTAGGTGAGACCGAGAGAAGTGCCTCTTCTGAAGATCTCAGGGCCCAAGCAGGTTCATACAAGAGGACGTGGATGGTCAAATAGCCTGGACCTGAACCATCTAGGGCAGTGGTTCTCAACTTTTAGGACCCCAAATGTTTTGGCCTTCAACTCGCAGAAATCCTAACAGCTGGTAAACTGACTGGGATTTCTAGGAGTTATAGGCCAAAACACCTGGGAACCCACAGGCTGAGAACCACTGGACTAGGGCTTTAAAGGTCAGTCTGCTCACCCATTTACAAGTTTTGCTTTTACGGAATAGATTGTTTTAGATTTTATTAATATACTAGCCGTCCCCTGCCACGCGTTGCTGTTGCCCACATGGGGGTTCTGTGTGGGAGGTTTGGCCCAATTCTATCGTTGGTGGGGTTTAGAATGCTCTCAGATTGTAGGTGAACTATAAATCCCAGCAACTACAACTCCCAAATGTCAAGATTCTATTTTCCCCAAATTCCACCAGTGTTCACATTTGGGCCTATTGAATATTTGTGTAGAGTTTGGTCCAGATCCATCATTGTTTGAGTCCACAGTGATCTCTGGATGTAGGTGAAGTACAACTCCAAAACCAAAGGACACTGCCCACCAAACCCTTCCAGTATTTTCTGTTGGTCATGGGAGAACTGTGTGCCAAGTTTGGTTCAATTCCATCGTTGGTGGGGTTCAGAATGCTCTTTGATTGTAGGGGAACTATAAATCCCAGCAACTACAACTCCCAAATGACAAAATCAATTTTTTTGAGTGAAGGACATACATTGGGTTGTTAGGTATCTTGTGTCCAAATTTGGTGTCAATTCCCCCAGTGGTTTTCGAGTTCTGTGAATACCACAAACGAACATTACATTTTTATTTATATAGATTCTTTCTAGGTGCTCCATGGTGATTATAGTCATGTCCTGCTGGAAAGTAACCAGGGATTTCTTCTAGAGAACCTATAGATTCCTAGAAGGAAAAGTTCTCTAGGAATCCCAAATTTCTTCAGTGTGATTCTTGGAGTTTAAAATAATAAAGATCAATAAAATAAATTTTAAAATTATCATTTTAACAGTTTTTTTTATGTATTGCATACTGTATGTTCATGTTGGCAAAAAAATTAATCTTAATCTTGATGTATTTCATCAGGCTAGAGTATAAATATTCCAAATTGGTAATGACGGCAAATTCAAAGGAATGTGAGCTTCCAGCTGCAGACAGCTGTGCTATTATGGAAGGAGAAGATAATGAAGAGGAAGTAGTGTATTCAAATAAGCAGTCATTACTAGGAAAACTCAAATCTTTAGCAACAAAGGTGAGTGCTGCTATTAGCTTGATTGCTTTTTATGCCTGTAACAAAATGTTGAGGAAAATGTTTCAAATATTTTTTATTAAAAATTGTTACATTGTTAATATAATTTTATTGGTTTTGTTTTCAAAGCATCACTATATGTTATGTTTACAGGCATGCACTCACAGGCTTGTTTGGGGGGGGGGGGATGGACGGAGGGAGGGAGAAACTGCTCACCCCATCCATTTGTTCTGCTGAAAGTCAAGTCAGCATCTATAACCAGCACATGTCGATCCCGAATTGTGCAAATTTATGATATTTAAGGTATTAACACATAGAACACAAAAGGTGGGCCATTGTGGTGGCCAGTTCTTCACCCTTGCACATGTCCATGGTAACCCAGGATGACTTTTGGTTTGTAGTAGGGGTGTACCATTCTGGGTTCCATTTTTGGCTCACTTCCCATTCTTTTTATCTGGAAGTTCATAAAATCAGAAGGGGATTCTGTTTTCATTCTGGTAAGATTTGATCCATTGGAGCCAATGGGGAAATTTTAGAGGCTAATTTCTCCATCATTTTTAGGCCTATTAGCATGAAACTCACCTCATTTATAGGTCACAGATATGACTGCAAGCCTTCCAAGTTTCAGAACATTTCACCAATCCACCGAGATTTGGGAAATGTTTAAACTTTTTGCCATAACATAAAAAACCTCCACAAGAGTGGATTCTGGGAATTGAAGTCCCAAACATACACCACAAGAGGGGAGGAGAACAGAAACTGCCAACCAGTCCTTTGATTGGCTGAGAAACACACAGAGAGAAAAACCTTAACTTCCATCATACAGAGGCTCCTTCGATGCCTTTTATGAGTTTATTTATTGTTGTATTTGTTATGCTGTTGTTTTATTGATGTGTTGGGCCTCAGCCTCTTGCAAGCCACACCGAGTCCTTCGGGAGATATTAGCGGGGTATAAATAAAGGTTTATTATTATTTATTATTTGCTGCTATGAAAGTGAGTTCCCATTTGCCTCAAGTGGGCACTGGGGGAGGGCTTCAGGAGGGGATGGAGGAGGCTTTCAGGGAAGAAAGTAGAGGAGGAACCACTACTTGCCTGATTTGCGAGGCTGCTCACACACTGCCTTCACCTCAGGTAGAGTGCCTCTCAGCTCCATTAGCCCCCATGATCCAAAAAAGGTTTGGCTGCTGTGATCCGTATTGGGTATGGCTTCAGATGCCCCCTGCCAGGCTTGTTTCTGGGAATTCGGCGACCAAATCCGGTACATCAAAATGATATCGTGCACATCCCTAGTTTGTACTTCCTAGACTTGTACCTGATTTTCCAATCAGTTTGTTGGGGTTGGAGGTTGTTCGGCAGAAAGGGGTATTAGAAGGCCAACAGTGGAAAGTGACTGAATTGGATAATTTCTTTCTATTTTCCTTCTAGGAAAAATTGGCAATGTTCTTGGACTTTAGAGTAGGGATCCTCAAACTAAGGCCCGAGGGCTGAATGTCATTTATCCAGCCCTCGCTCAGGGTCAACCTAAGTCCGAAATGGCTTGAAAGGACACAACAACAGCAACAACAATCCTATCCCATTAGCCAAAAGCAGGCCCACATTTCTCATTGAAATACTAATATATTTATATTTGTTAAAATTGTTCTTCATTTAATTATTGTATTGTTTTTAAGTATTTTTTGCACTACAAATGAGACATGATTCATTCATGGTTTTTTTTTTTCAAGTTATAATCCGGCCCTCCCAACAGTTTGAGGGCCTATGTCCTGGCCCTCTGTTGAAAAAGTATGTGGACCCCTGCTTTAGAGGTTTGAGTGGCATATTGAGTGTGCATCTTCACTGTGGAATTAATGCAGTTTGACTTTAATTGCTGTAGTATAATGCTATAGAATCATGAGAGTTGAAGTTTTACAAGGTCTTCAGCTTTCTCTGCCAGAGTGCTGATGCCTCATCAACTACAACTCCATAGTATTGAGCCATTGTAGCTAAAGTGGTGTCAAATTGCAACCTTAGATTTGCAGAATACAGTTTGGGAGTATTACATAATGGAAAGCCTTGTTTTTGCCAATAAGGTCATATTCAAACAGTACCACTTACAAAAAACCAGTCTATATCTGTTTTTCTGTATTAACACTTATGTTTTGCAATGCAGGAAAAGGAAGACCGATTTGAATCTGTTCAGCTGAAATCCTCAAGATCTCAAAATATATGAAGACGTAACTCTTCCAATGGACTAGCAAAGCTAATTTCTATTTATAGAAGAGTACATTTTCAACACATTCTGGCACACTTCTGAAGGGTGTTCTCCAGTGAGGAGCGTTGAACATTCTAAGAGGAAGAAAGAAGAGCAGAAAGAAGAGCAAGAGGGAAAAATTGCCTTATCTGAGACTCAGTAATTTGCCAAAAAGGAAAGAAAACAGATTGTCATAAGCTGGGATGGATGTTCAACTCAGGGAGAGAGGAAGCATGTGGAGTCCGAGATATTTTGAGGTCTGAGGCTGGTAATCTCAGCAACACTTCCTGGAATAGTAAAAATATGGCAATGAACTAAATGTTGACAGTTTTGCTGACCTTTAATGCTCGTTGTTCAAATACTGTCCCTGTGAGATGGACTGTTTCACTCTGTCCTGAAAGTGGTTGCACATGACATGAGGACTACATTGATCTCTGTGTTGCTTTGTCATACCAAAAGATTCAGTTGTTTGTTCTTTTTTTAGTTCCCATCCCTTTTGTCCCAAAGATGAGGCAGTCTGGCTTCTAGGAAGAACAGAAGATTACCCAAAAGCCAGTATGGAAACTGGCAGATGCACTGAAGTTGTAGAAATGAATTTCTCTTGAAATCAAACCTCAATCAATAGCTTAAAAAGAATAACTGTGATTTTTTAAAAAAAGGAATGCTTGCCATGCAACTCTGGGGTGTTTTGCCTAAAGGATACAGGTTTTTTATTTGCAAAATTGGCTTGTTTTCAGTGAAAAGACCTAAAACTGGCCTGTGGAAAGCCTGAACATGCAGTCGGGGCTGGCCCTAGATAATTTTCAAGTGTAAGTGGGGGCACCTCAAGAGCGCCCCTCAGGGATTTTGTGCTATATGCAAATGCGTCACTTGTTTATTGCTTCAGCCGCCCCTCAATTTAATGAGGTTCATCCTCGCTGCTTGGGATTGGGCTCTTCTGGGAGTTGTAAATACTACAAATAACTGTTTTCCACCAGATTTGGAATTGTAGAACTGCCAACCAATTTGGAGCGGGGAATGCGCATGCACACGCACACACAGACATTCGGATCTAAACTGGCAGATATTTGTGTCTCTGAAGGCTTTCGCTTTCGCTTTAAGGCATTGGTCTGGAGCCAGGGAGGAAAATGGCCCCACTGATAATTTTATGCAGTTTCAAAGCGGTTTCTTTCTCTGTGTGGATGGTTACATAGGAAAACCAGCTTGAAGCTGGGATGGGGTTTACACAAACAGCAGAGCACTGATCCTTATGAAGGGCTTGCTTTTGTGGAAATTTTGTTGCCTGGCTTTGAAGTGTATATAATGCTCAGTGTGGATTGAGGCCCCTTCTACCACACTGCCACATCAAATACCGATGGTCTGCATTGAACTGGATTATATGGCAGTGTAGACTCACATAATCCGGTTCAAATGAGATAATGTGGGTTATCTGATTTAATAATCTGGATTATGTGGCAGTGTAGAAGGGACCTGGGAGACATGGGACCTCAGCGACACTATCATATAAAATCAAGATTTATCTGCTTTGAACTGGATTATATGTGTCTACACTGTCACAAATTCCACCTCAAAGCAAATTATTTGGAATTTATATGGCAGAATAGATGGGGACTGAGGGCCCTTCCAGCCAGCCATATAACCCAGAATATCAAGGCAGATAATACACAATATCTGCTTTGAAATGTGTTATCTAAGTTCACACTCAGCTAATATGGGATTTTTTTGCCTTGATATTCTGGGAAATAGGGCTGTGTGGAAGGGCCCTGGGTGGTATGGAATGGTGGAAGGTCTTTCCCCTTCTCTGCCCAAGAGAATTGGTGCCATTACACCAAACTGCCCAATCCCACAACCCTGGCAGTCCAAGCGGTGTCAAACTGCATTGAGTGTACAATGGGAATGCAGCCTGGAGGTAGAGGGGAAAAAGGGCTGGCTGGTGGGGTCAGGGGCAGAGTCAAGCCACAGCAGGCTCGATCAAGGGGAGTCTGAGGAAGGCTCCTTTCTTTTTACATGCCGAGGCTGAGCTCACAGTTACCTACCTGTGCGCCTAGTTGCCTCTCCCTCTCGCTCTCTCTGTATCTCTCTGCCCGCCCTCCTGAAGTGCCGACTCCCTTCTCCTGGCCTCACGTGGGGCCAGCTCAGCTGGGCGAAGGCAGAGAAAGAGAAAGATTGAGATTGAGAGAGAGAGAGAGAGAGAGAGAGGAAGAAGGGATCCCTGCCTGTCTTCTCCTGCCTCTTTCCTAAGGGACCATGGCGACTCCCGTGCCTGGCTGGCAGAGCAGTGCCCCCGGGCAAGTGGCACCCTAAGCAAATGCTTAATCTGCCTAATGGTTCCACTGCCCCTGCATGCAGTCCAAAAGCTAAGAACATTGCCCAGTATGTGTTTCCTGTGAAGTAAGACCTATTTTATTCAATTGGGTTTGTATTTATTATTGTAGCCTAAATAGTTTGGAGTCTGTCTCCCTTGGATCTATCCAAATTGTGCCACTTATCTGATTGCAGTCATATAGAAGCAGCTTGCCATGGCAAACTCTTCCAGATGAAGTAAATTTTCTCAAAGATTTAGATAAATATTCCTATAGCCACACATGCTTTTGAGAAAAGGATCAGACTATGTACAATGCCGTCTCAGTTTAAATGGCAACAGTACAATGACTTGCATGTGGAGATATAAATTCTCTGCTGTTTTTAGTCTCAAAGGAAGCAACGAGTAATTTAGCAGTTTTCTTCCTACTGTGAGAAATTCTTTCAAAAGGGTGCTGTTTTTGAAAACTATTTGCAATTCTGCACCCAATTCATGTGTAAGATCTTTTGCCTAGAAAACAGCATTTTCTTTATGTAAAATAATATTTCTGCACAGAAAATACTGTACTGGAAGCTTTTTCTGCACAAAATTAGTTTTTGCACTTTTCTTTGCATTTTCTGGAGAAAAATATTATGAATAAAAAAGCCACGAGTCTAGCACAGAATAAATGCTAAATGGTGAAGATTCCCATCAGTCCACGTTCGATGCATCGGGATTTTATTTTATTTATTTATTTATTTATTTGGTAGTTTTGTATACCGGTCTTCTCACCTCCATTCGAGGGACTCGGGCCGGTTTCCAACATCAATATTACAGACCGTCATTAAAACATCGTATTTCTAAATCACACTAAAACATTAAAACATTGAAACAATTAAAATGGCAAAAATACAATCATATGATTACAGTGGTCAGTCGTCATCAAAATCATTATTTGTCGTCATCCATCCATATCACAGGATCATGGCTCATTCGTTGAATGCCAATCCCCAAAGCCAGGTTTTCACCTGTTTCCTGAATGTTAAGATCGAAGGGGCAGTTCTGATCTCCAGTGGAAGGGAGTTCCAGAGTCGAGGGGCCACCACCGAGAAGGCCCTGTCTCTCGTCCCCACCATCCGTGCCTGTGAGGCTGGTGGGATAGAGAGCAGGGCCCCTCCAGACAATCTTAGTAATCTTGATGGCTCATAGGGGAGGATACGTTCGGACAGGTAAATTGGGCCGGAGTTGTTTAGGGCTTTATAGGATTTTCCAACGCCAAAAATACATTTTAACAATTTTTCAAAATATTATGGAACATCCATCCTTATGTACATGAAACAATCAGCCCTAAATGCAGCATGAATTATTATTATTAATATTATTATTATTATTATTACTGCACTTGTAGACCGCCGTTCTCAGCCCTAGGGCGACTCACGGCGGTGTACAACATATAAAAACCAGGTACAATTTACAACAGAACAATATCACATCAACCGTAAGCAACAACACTATCAACAATACAGTTACACTAAATCATTCACGACGTCTCATCATTGAATCACAATCCGAATCTCATTATCCATGTTCCGTTCTAATCGTCATTGCCAATTGTTGCAGCACTTACTCAAACGCCCTCTCAAACAACCACGTCTTTAATCTCTTGCGGAATGTCATGAGGGAGGGCGCCAGTCTGATGTCCACAGGGAGGGTGCTCCACAGCCGGGGGGCCACCACCGAGAAGGCCCTATCCCTCGTCCCCGCCAGGCGTGCCTGTGAGGCAGGCAGGATCGAGAGAAGGGCCTCCCCGGACGATCTCAAAGCCCTCTGGTGTGAGAGAATTGGCTGTCTGCAAGGACGTTGCCCAGGGGACGCCCGGATGATTTGATGTTTTGTCATCCTTGTGGGAGGCTTCTCTCATGTCCCCACATGAGGAGCTGGAGCTGATAGAGGGAGCTCATCCTCCTCTCCCCAGATTCGAACCTGCGAATATTTGGTTAGTAAAAGTGTAAGAATCTGGTATATCTCTACAATAAGGAGTGCTCCTACAGTCCTTCCGGGGTGAATAAGGGAATGGTATCAATGTAAATTTGTAGCATTTGATTCTCAGTGAGAGGTTGTACTTTCTCTTTTTTTTTGTCGTGTCAGGAGCAACTTGAGAAACTGCAAGTCGCTTCTGGTGTGAGAGAATTGGCTGTCTGCAAGGACGTTGCCCAGGGGACGCCCGGATGATTTGATGTTTTTCATCCTTGTGGGAGGCTTCTCTCATGTCCCCACATGAGGAGCTGGAGCTGATAGAGGGAGCTCATCCTCCTCTCCCCAGATTCGAACCTGCGACCTGTCGGTCTTCAGTCCTGCCGGCACAGGGGTTTAACCCACTGTGAAACCGGGGGCTCCTGCACTATCATAGCCATGGCTTTTGCAGACATACTGTCTTCTGGCATTATTTTCCTGAGTTTTTAACATGCAGGAACTGATTGGAGGGAATGCTCCCATTCAGAGCAGCCATAGTTCTTAAGCAGATGAGCTTCCAAACTGAGACATAAACTCCCAAGTGGAACTTGGTGCTACAGTGCTTGTATTGTGTAACAAATTAAAAATCCTCAAAGAAAGCACCTGCAGCTGGGCAAGGTGCTATAGATTCATGCACTGTTGTCTCTCTTAAAAACTTCCTTGTTTGCCTGCCACAGAATAGTTACACAGGACAGCATTTGATGTAGTAGAGAAGCTTGACAAGCCTGGTTGACCCTCGGCTAATAACTAAGATGAAGAATCAGCCATAATAATGTTACATAATCACAGATTTCCTGAATGCCTAAAATGTGGTAAGTTTTATCAATGGGAAATAAATATTCATTATTGATAAAGATGTCAGGATTAATACTCTTGGTGAGAAATTGTTCTGCAAGCATTTATCTAAGTTATTAAAGATCCTGTATGTTGCAAAGTATTTTTTAAAACACCATACATACCTTTAAAATATAACATATTAGTTCTTCATTATGGAATAATGAAGGTTGGGTGGTGGCAATAGTACA